CGGAAGTAGGATTGCCCAACCTTCCTTCCGAGGAGTGGCTGGTGGGTTTGAACCGCCAGCCTTCTGGTTAGCAGTCAAGTGCTTTTAGCCACTATGCTACCAGAGCTCCTATATAAACACTAACAGGATTGAAACAGGATTGGAAAGAGAAATAGACAACTCTGGTAGCGTAGTGCCTAACGCACTTCACTGCTAATCAAAACGTTGGCGGTTCCAACCCAGCAGCCACTCCTCAGAAGGAAGTTTGGGCAATCTACTCCTGTAGTGATACTGCCTCAGAAACGCAAGGGGGGTCACTATGAGTGGAGTCTGACTTGACTGTACATAACAACAACTCCACAATAATAGTAGGAGATTTTGACACACCACTTTTGATGAAGGAGGGAACAACTAGAAAGAAACTCCACAAAGATACAGAAGATCTAAACAACACAATCAACCAAGTGGACCGTATAGACACTCTACAGAATACACAGAACTCTATTTATATACAGAACACTCCACCCAACAAAAACACAATGCCCACCCTTTTCCAGTGACAGGGATCATCTCCAGAACAGACCATTTGTTAGGCCACAAAGCCAGCTTCAATAAATTTAGAAACATCGAAATAATACAAAGCGTCCACTTGGATCACAACACTACAAATTAGAAATCAGTAACATTAAGATCAGGGGGAAGAAAGTCAATACACGGAAACTGAATAATACCCTGTTTAAAAACTCTGGGTAATAGAAGAAATACAAAAACATTTAAATGTGTGATACTATTTTTAATGAAAGAAAGGAGTATTATTTAAAAAACATTTAATAAGCATTGTAGAATTTCCACTTATGATCTAGGTACATACCATTTTTACACAAATAATGGTGTGTGTTATGCTTTTTACAAATCTGCAACTTCCTCAGGCATTAGTTTCCTAAGCATGCTGTACATGTGATGTGCATACGTGCATTATTTACATGCACATGTCACATTAGAAAAATGTAGTAGTTCACTTTAGTTGTTTGTTCATTTATTCACTGACACACCAATACTTCCTAAACAGTGTATTAGATACTGGATACTGAAGGCTAGACAGTAGGTATTTGCCTTAAGAGGTTAACTTGAAGAAGATGAGACAATCACACCACCTTAATTTCCCTACTGTGACCAAAAACAGACCAGGTTCAAAGAGACTCAGACAGAAGCAAACACAAATGTGCTGGATCATTGTGACTTCTGTGCAGTTTTGCACCTGCTGGTGGTACTCCTTAAGAAAAACAGCATGTGGTAAAGGATGCCATATTTCTTTCTTTCTTTTTTTTTTTTTTTTTGTCAGCCGAGTTTTTTTATTTGTTCATTTCTTGCATTTGAAGTATTCTTCAATGACATCCTTGGCCTGAGATTCTTTGCCATAGTCCTTAACCACCACACAACTTCAACCAATCACTTTCTGAGGCTTGCCCTCTCTGTCTATTTTGCAGAGACCTACCCACTCCCCTAGTTTCTTGTTGTCATCAACCTTAATCAGGTTGATTTGGTGTTCAGCACAAAGGGCCTCTACTAACTTGACATACATAGGCTCATCACGGTTGGATGCAAGCACACAAAGATGGTCTTGGCACCTTTTTCTAGGTTTCCTGTAGAATGGATGCTTTTCACAACCTTTTCAGAATTTGTGCTTAACCCATGAACTTCACACTTTCTTCCCTTGGCTGAAGTTCTCTTCCAGTTGCAACCCACTTTATCAAAACTGATAAATGTACTTGTCTAAGGCTTTGGCAGCTTCGTGAATTCCACGTGCTAGACCATCATGGATGAGGGCGGTCTTCAGCACCTCTTGTAAAGCAGTATTGACATCCATTACACCTCCAGCAGCAATGCCTTCCTTGGCCATGGCGGTGGGTTACGGGTGGGTCTGAATTTTTAACACACCCGAGCCTTTGCCTCTGCACAGCTCTGCAGCGACAGGGAAAGAGGCCACATTTCTTTATATTAAAAATTACATCATCAGTACCTCTAGGAACAATGATGTCATCACCCCCAAGGTCTCTGGATGTTGTGATGATTTTCAAATGACTGAAGCACATTTCACATCCCCCCCCCAGCCACATTTGAAAAGTGAAAAGATACATTAAATTCAGGCTAGGAAGCCTTTCTTCTGCCAAACTTGAAGAAATCTCTCTATTTCCAGCTTACAACGCAAGGGGAGAATTGAGGTGTATACAAGATGTAATAGTGATAGGTCACCTCTGGTGGTGTAAGGTCTAAGCTATTTGACTGCTAACCAGAAGGCTGGTGGTTCAAACCTAAGCCACTCCTTAGAAGGCAGATTGGGCAATCTACTTCAGTATGAATACAAGAAAGTGTTGCTATGATAGAAGGAGGGGTCATTATGAGTTGGAATTGACTCCATGGCAATGAGTTTTTGTTTGTTTGTTTTTAAGCAGTGGTCCATAAGAAAGAACACCTAACTGTGGGACAGAGAAAGAAACGAGGGAAGGCGTTGTGGAGGAGGTGACATTTGAACCAAGATTGTCACCAGGATAACAATGTGGAGGAAAGGAGCTCATTCTCCGTGTCTCCTCTCCCCCCAGCCCACCCCCTTTTCCTCTCCCTTAGAGCCTCTCACCACTGTTCCCTGTCCCTTGGGAGATTTCCCTTCTCTCTGTGAACCCAGATGAACTACCACCCCCCTTGAAGCCCTGATCTCCCCTCCTCCTCCAGCTGCCAGCAGAATCCACTACTTCTCAGTATGTCCACACCTCTGTAAACATCACCTAATTAATCATCTCTTATCATTGAATCAGGAGCTCTGGTAGCATAGAACCTAAGGCACCTGATTACTAACCAGAAGGCTGGCAGTTCAAACCCACCAGCCACTCCTTGGAAGGCAGATTGGGCAATCTACTTCATTAGAGATAATGCCTTGGAAACCCAGGAAGGAGTTGATATGAGTTGGATCCCATTCGACCGCAGTGTGTTTGGTTTGGTTTTTTGGTTGTCATTGAATCACAATTTACTCTTTACATTCTCTTATTTCATAGGTGAGAAGACAGAGGCCACAAAGTTTCTGAGACCCTGTCCAAGGTCACTTAACTCGGGGTGGGGGTTAGAGGATGTATTTTAAATTCGGACCCTGAGGTCTGAGGAGGATAGAACCTTGTACTTTAGATGTAATTGATAAATGTACGGGAGAGAGGAGTGCAGCTCCGGGAATACAAACACGGCTACTGGATTCGGAGGCCCAGGGACTGGACACACGGGCTCAGCGCCCTCAGACCGGCGGACCCAGGGCCGTTGAGGGTTCGAGTCTGGCGGGAGGCGACCCGGGTGGCGGCCTGTCCTCAGCCCCGAGGGCCGCGAGGGGCTCGGCGGGACCGGGTGGGAGCGGCCGCCTTCTCAGCTCCGCCTCTGCCCGCAGAGAATTACGTGGAGCAGAGAATGTATGACTGCTACGCGTTGAACGGGACTCAACGCTTGATAGACAGACAGATCTATAACCAGGAGGAGTACGCGCGCTTCGACAGCGACGTGGGGGAGTTCGTGGCGGTGACGGAGCTGGGGCGGCGGGACGCCGAGCACTGGAACAGCCAGAAGGACCTCCTGGAGCAGTGGCGGACCGATGTGGACAGGGTGTGCAGACACAACAACGAGGCAATCGAGGGCT